CACAATGGAATATTGTATGTTCTTTATCCATTTATCTGCTAGTGGACACTAAGGTTGCTTCCACGTCTTGGCTCTCATTAGCGGCAGTGCTCTGGTCACTGGGGAACGGGCCGTTGTAAACAGGGAGCCCTGGGGAACGAGCCACTGTTTTTACTGCTCCTTCTCCCACGTCTTGGTTGGCAGAGTCAGGGTTAAGATCTCAGACACTCACTAACCAAGAACCACCGTGTGGAGCACTGACCTGACAGCAGTACCCCTTTATCCGCTTAAAACCCACAGACGCGGCTGCGTGGGTTCACCGCCAGCCTGTCTCCCTCAGCACACACCAGACATTCAGCAAGGATTATCGCCAGGGTGGGACATGATACCCTAGGAGGTCGCCACAACATTTTGCTTTGAAAGCAGAAGTGAACCTGATTATTCCCTGCATCTCACTTGACCGTGGGTTCGTCCTGGGCAGGGAGCCCGGAGTGTTGGGTCCAGTCTCCCCGAGGCCACAGCCCCCAGGCAGCTGCTCCGCACGGTGAGCCCTGTGGACGGGCTGGAGCTCGGGGGTGGGGGTGGGAGGTCGAGCCGTATTCAGGGCAGAGACGTTTTTCCCGCGGCTGCAGAAATATGTTCTCCCCAAGGACGCTGCTTACGCAGAGTCGGCTCGGATGACCCAGCATGATTTCCCGAGTGACCTTGAATTCACCCTTGGCCGAGACCGCGAGTTTCCGCTCGCATCTGTCAGCAGAGCTCCTGTCCGACGAGGATCCGTGCTGGCATGTCCCCCGGGCCCTGCAGCTGCTCCGCGCTGACTCGTCCGGTTCCGCGTCACCAGGAAGCGCCTCGTATGGGGATGGAGTGAATACAGAGTGTCCCTGCTCGAGGAGATGCGGCCGTCACTGTCCTTCAGCAGGGGTCACCGTTAGAGTGACCACTGGTGCCCCAGACAAAAAGAATGAACACGGAGGGGTCCGGCCGGGGTGCCCCGGGGTGGGAGTGTAGAGTCCAGCGTCGGTGCAGCTGCTCCAAGGTCGGTCTGACCCCACTCCCCTGGCTTTTTTCTCTGCTTCAACCTTCCAGGGGTCAAAGGCCATCTTGAGGATGGGGTCACCATCGACAGCTTTCTTCTGCAACAGTTTCTTTAAGGAACCTGTGTGAAGCCCCGGGAATTCTCTGCAAGTTAACATCCCCAAAGTTCTAGCCACAGTCCCTGTTTTGTTTTTTTTTAATAAATTCTTTAATTTTTTTTAATATTTTATTTTTTGATGAGGAGGGAGGTAATTAGGTTTATTTATTTATTCAGTGGAGGGGCTAAGGATTGAACCCAGGACGTTATGCCTGCTAAGGACATGCGCTACCCCTGAGCTGTATCTTCCGCCCACCTCCCCGTCCCTGTTGACCCCACGTCCCCTTCCGATGCCCCCAACTCCATGACGCGGGCTGTTTTCCACTGGGTTTTGATGCTCAGAAGGGTGTGCCTGGTGCCTGCTGGCTGGTGCCCTGAGACGAAGCTCTCGAGCCTGGAATTTATCATTCAGCGACCACGGCCATCTCACTGACCACCCCCAGTCCTAGTGCATTGAAAGAACCATTTCGTTTTGTTAAAATGTATTTTTTTTTAAATTGAAGTATAGTTGGTGTACAGTAATAGCATGTAAATTACAGGTGCACAGTAGGGTGACTCACAGGTTTTAAAGGTTACAGTCCATGTACAATGTATCCTTGTAGCTTATTTACTTTATACGTGGTAGTTCGTTCCTCTGACTCCCCTCCCTTATCCTGCCCTCCCCCTATCCTGCCTCTCCCCGCTGCCCTCTCCCCACTGGTCACCATGAGCTTGTTCTCTGCACCTGTGAATCTGCTTCTGTTATATTCACTAATTAGTTCTATTTTTTAGATTCCACATGTAAGTGGTATCACACAGTCTTTGTTTTTCTCTCTCTGACTTATTTCACTTAGCATAATAAGCCCCTCCCAGTCCATCCATGCTGCTGCAAATGGCATTATTTCATTCTTTTTCATGGCTGTGTGCTATTCCATTATATAAATGCACCACGTTTTCTTTATCCAGTCATCTGCTGATGGACATTTAGGCTGCTTCCATGTCTTGGCTGTTGTAAATAGTGCCGCTGTGGGGATCACCATTTCCTTTTCCTTGCAGTTGGGACAGGCGTAGCTCGGGCCGCCATGATCTGACATGCCCACCGGGGGATGGACATCCAGGATGGCATCCTGCTGTGCTGGGAACATGGTAGTGCCTGCTGGATGGGCTCAGCTAGGATGGTCGGCCAGATTGCCTACATGTGGTCTGTCCCAAATAGCGGTCTTAGCACCGCCAGTCTTCTCAAGCAGCACGGGGTCTGCCCAGAGACAGAATTCTGGACACCAGGAGCTGCATGGTCTTGTCTGAGCAGGCCCTTGGTGTTTGTAGGATATTGTCACCGCCACTGCCTTCTACTCACGACAGCAAAGCTCACGGGAAAGCGATGGAGACTCCCTCTCCTGGAAACACGAGTGTCCAGTGTGCAGGCTTGGTCTGCAGCCACCTGGAGGTCCCCCTCCCTTTCGGCCGGCCTCACATAAGCCAGGTGTCCTTACGTACTAGTCTGCGCTGGCTGAGGGCTCCCTGACCAGGAATTTACAGCACATTAGGGGACTGAGTGTATGTGTGTGGCCCCATCCCACTCAGTTAGTCAGGGAAATGATTCGAGAGAGAGGCATTTGCATTTTCTGTAAACACCAAACTTTATGTCCGCGTGACAGCCGATCCCCGGGTGGCTTCTGGATGACTCCTCAGGCGCACCCAGCACGCTCTCAGGGAGCACTTTGTGCGTGTGGTGTTCCTGGCTGCAGGAACATTTAAGCATGCATTCCGTGGAATGCAGGAGAGATATGTAGCTGGCTGGCCCCTGTCTGCAGGTCCCCACTCGTGGTGTTTTACAGCAGTGAGCTCAGGGGATGGCGTTCCCGTATCAGGGAAGGTGTCTGACACACCTGGGTGTGGAGAGACGCGGTCAGACGCACTGGGCACGGCCAGAAAGCAGGTGGGGGTCCGAAGCCCACACCCGAATTGACCCGTCTTCTCGTTTATACGTCTGGAGCCCCGTCTTCCATCACAGTCTGTAAAAGCACCCATCAACTGTTGTCCAGATTTATTTTTAAGTGTTTATCTACCCCATTGCTGCACCCAGAGCGCATTGCTGTCACTGTTAAAATCACAGCCTGAATCACATTGGGTTTTGTTTCTTTTTCTTTTTTTTTTTTTTGTCCTCAAGAACTTCAACAGTGGGAAAGCAGCACTGGGACCAGGGATGTGGGGTCGTGAAACCCAAGGTGGGTCCTGCCGGGGAGCTGGGTGTGGTGGGGCGTGCACGGTGGCCTGCGTGTCCAGGAAGAGAGCTCACAGTCCAGCCGGGAGAAGTGTCCACACGTACACTTATGCACACACAAGTGCGCGTGCAGAGGGTTACATGTAGAAATGCAGACTCACACACATGCAAAGACTCATATGTGTGCTTATCTGTACATCCGTATATCTGCATATAACACACACATAAATGCGTACACACCTGCAAATGCGTAGAGACAGGTATGCTCGTATGCATACACGAATATATATGCACATGTGCAGAAAATCATTCACATGCAAAACAATTTGCAGATGCAAATATATATGCAAATGCCAGAGCCTATGGGAATGAATATACAAATGGAAATACATGTATAGATGCATTATCCATAAACATATGCAAATGGGTGGTTAACGGAACACTTATGCATATGCAAATACCGCTGCTCACACAGTTACAGTACGTACACACATGCAAATACATGAATATGCAAATACCTTTACCATACCCCAGACACTTACAAATACATATGCAAATATCTCTGCTCATATACAAATATGTATACTTATGTACATGCAAATGCATGAACATGCAAATACATTTCACCTTACCCACACACATGCAAATGCCTATGCTCGTATACAAATACACTTAGAAACATGCATAAGCACGAACATGCAAATACATTTTACCTTACCCACACACTTACAAATACCTATGCAAATGCCTATGCTTGTATGCAAATACATACTTATATATATGCATATTCACAGATATGCAAATACATTTAACCTTGCCTCGTACACTTACAAATACATATGCAAATACTGCTGCTCATATACAAATGTGTACACATACATACACACATATGCATGCCTTATTTGCAAATGCAGGCACTTCTGCAGATACACAGGTATGCACCTGCATATGCAAATCTATAGCCACACATGTACCACAAATGCCAAAGAAAACACATGTGTAAATTGATAGGCATCTATAAACACATACGTGCAGGGAGATGCACACACAAGTAAACACGCAGATGCAGAAACGTGTGTAAGTGTGTGCGCGCATATATGCAAATGCATACGTGTAAATACACGCACACGTGCATATCATATGCGTGCACACGTACAAACACGTCTACGGTAAGCATACAAATACACACAGACTCACACACGTATACACCACATCTTCTTTATCCAGTCACCTGTCGATGGACATTGAGGCTGTTTCCACGTCTTGGCTGTTGTAAATAGCGCTGCTGTGAACACTGGGGTGCAGGTGTCTTTTTGAATTAGAGTTTTCTGCAGGTATTTATATGCCCAGGAGTGGGACTGCTGGGTCATATGGTAAGTCTGTTCTTAGCTTTTTAAGGAACCTCCAGACAAGAGAGTCTGATCTTGTGGTGGGTGCTGCTGTTTTGTGATTATTTGCAAGCTCGGGCCACCAAAGGGCAGACTTTGAGAGCAGGAGAGGTCTTACTGGTCCGTTGGCTTCGCCCCCACGGTGTGCAGGGCAGGAGACTGAGAGGCAGTGAGGACCAGACCCCCCACCTGCCCCGGTCTGGGCTCCCGGGTTGCTTCCTCGTCCCTCTGGGGGGGCGCTGTTCCATCTCATGTCGCCCCATGTTCCTCTCCCTGAAACTCCCCGTCTCCCCAGCCGGCGTGATGATGGTCCCTGAGCGGAGCACCGAGGACGGCTATGAGGAGCACTTTGGGGTGAACTACCTGGGCCACTTCCTGCTCACCAACCTCCTCCTGGACACCCTGAAAGCATCCGGTTCTCCCGGCCGCAGCGCCAGGGTGGTGACTGTGTCCTCGGCCACGCACTACGTCGGGGAGCTGAACCTGGACGACCTCCAGAGCAGGTGAGTGAGCAAGCGATGCCGGCGGCCCCGTGGGCTTCTAGGGAGGTCGGGGCTTGCACATGACCGTGGTGCACTGAGCAAAGTCCCCCTGCCTGGTGACGGCAGCGCGCAGGTCCTGACTGTCTCACATAAACCTGTCCTGTAATAGGAACTGGAACGACCAATGCACGCAGACCTTCCAGACACTGCAGGCTCCGTCCCAGAACACTGCAAAGGCAGCCATCACACCGCTCTTTCCCAGTGCACGTAAAAATCACGTGTACGCTAGACTGTATTCTGTTCATTGTGCAATAGCATTTTGTCTAAAAAACAAACATGTACATTAAAATAACACTTCATTGCCAGCACTATTTACAATAGCCAAGACACGGAAGCAACCTAAATGTCCATCAACAGATGACTGGATAAAGAAGCAGTGGTATGTTTATACAATGGAATACTACTCGGCCATGAAAAAGAATGAAATCATGCCATTTGCAGCAACATGGGTGGACCTGGAGATCACCTTAATGGCAGATGTCTGGTCTGCAGAACTGGGAGGAAGTGAATTCCTGCTGTGTTAAGCGCCCCCCTCCCTGCCCCATTCTGTGGGTCTCCTGTCCCCTGTGCTGGGCTGTAAGAGGGTCTTCCAGGTCCTGTGGAATCTGAGCTGTGCTGGGACGGGCATGAGGGATGCCTGAGCCACACCCGGGGTCCTGCAGGAGCCCTGGGGTTTGCACAGGCAGACCTCACTCCCGGCCATTTCTGACCTGTTCTGTCAGAACCCGGGGGGTGGGAAAGTAATCTGGAAAAAAAAATGGACATATAACTGAATCACTTTGCTGTTCACCCAGACCAGGCAGATGAATCCCACCCTCTCCCCAGTCCTAGCTCTGACCTCGGACAAGATGGGATGGCTCTTGGTGGCAGAGTGAGCAGGGCCTCCTGGCTGCAGGGGTGGCTGCGTACTGTGCCGTTAACCGAGGTGCTTCTTTTGGGTAAAACCTGATGTGTTTCCAGTGGCCTCATGCACCAAGGTCCACCTGGAAACCAGGGCTCAGAGTGGACTTCCACTGGGTCCCCCCTGCTGTCTCCTTCTGGAGGGGAAGGACACCCTCCTCTTGGGTTCATCGTCCCTCCCAAGATACGTGCTTCTTACGGGCTTACCCTCTCCCGGGGAGGAACATCTCCTTATTTCATTGGCTTTCTGTCTTCCTTCTTCTTTGGTGCAACACATCAGCATTGAGAAAGTCCGCCTTTTTTCTGCTGCTTCTTGTACGAGTTCCCTGGGGCCATGGTGACAAAGTCCTGCAGACTGGGTGGCTGAGAACACCAGTTTATTCCCTCCCAGTCCTGGAGGTGGGAAATCCGAGATCGAGGTCGGTTGGTTGGACAGGGTGGTGAGGTTCTAGGGGAAGGAGGTTCTGGAGGTTTCAGAGGAGAGTTTCTTCCAGGCTTCTTGCCAGCTTCTGGTGTTTTCTGCCCATCCTTGGGGTTCCTCAGGTTTGTAACGCATCTCCCCATCTCTGCCGTCATCTCCGCCCCTGTCATCTCTCTGGGACTTCACATGGTCTCCTCCTCTGTGTGCCTGTCTCTTTGCCCCAGATTCCCCTTTTTAGAAGGACACCAGTCATATTGAATTACAGCCCACCCACCCAAGCTCATGTTAACTTCATTATCTCTCTAAAGACCCTGTGGCAGGTCGGGGGAGGTTATAGCTCAGTGGTAGCGCACATGCTAACCATGTTTAATACCCCACCAGGACCTCCTTCAAAAATAAACGAGTAAGTAAATCTAATAGCGCCCCCCCAAATAAATTTTTAAAAAAGGACCCTAAGGACCCTATGTCCCAGTTAGGTCCTATTCTGAGGTCCTGAGGGTTAGGACTTCCATAGATCTTTTTTTTGGTGGGGGAACAGTTTAGCCCCCTAAAAGTCACCACGTGTCTTTCCCCAGTTGATCCACCTTTAACCTTTTAAGACACATAATTTTACCCTGACTTTCCATTGGAGAGTCAGTCATCACTGAGCTCTGAGGCACGGCCAAGTCTCTAATTCTGGTCTCTAATTCTGTTATCCTCTGGAACATGAGACCTAATTAAAACTGTTTTCCCTTGTTACACTGTCCTTTATCAGTCTGATTTGCAGGCCCCAGGACAGAATCTAAAAGTATAGAGGGAAAAAAATGTTTTTTTCTCTTCCTGCATTTTACCTTATTAAAATGTAAGCCTTACATGTATATATTTTTATAAGTTCAAATACGTGGATGTGCATGTATTGTCTTTGGCAATAGTAATTTTTTTCTTTGATGAGAACTTGAAAACCTCATTGGCTCAGCAGAAACGGAGGGCCTGCTATGTTCCTGGCATCTTGCTAAGAAAGGGGGCCTTTGCTGACCACGTCCACGGAGCTCCTGGACTTGAGTAGCTCAGGGCAGCGGTGTAACTACTGCAGTGGGCCTCGGCCGGTTCTCAGATCAATGGCAGACCTAGACCAGGTAAAATCGTCACTCTAGTAAACAGCAAACACTTTTTATATGAAACGAAGGCATCCAAAAACCCACAGTCTTCTTCCCAGGCAGAAAGCCATGGTGCTGCAATTTAGAGTAGGGTTTCCCATCTCTCAGTAATGTTCTCCTAGGTTTTCAACCAACAATCCTTTAGAGAATTGTTGAGCCTTTGATTCCATACACAGAGATGCGTATATGGTGTTCAAACTACCATTCACCTTTCATTCTCTTGTCTGCAAGGCAGCGAGAGAGACAGTTGTCTGAATATGCCAACCGAATATATGCCACGTCCACATAAAGATTATTTTGAGCTGGAGGCTACTGAGACACAAGATATGCAGAAAGGTGGCTTTCTGGAACTTTCCTTATCTGAATAAAAGCATAAGCTCATGCTTGTTTAAGAAACAAGACTTCTCAACTCTTTTGGAGTTTCACTTCTTTCGTAAGAAGTCCCACACATGTGTAGAATTAGAAGTAAAATTGGTATTCTTTTTCTTGTTAATTTGGCAGGTGCCAGTTTAATTTGCATGCCCTCGTGACACAACTCAAAAGTATAGGAGGAAAGTTTTTCCTTCCCGACAAAAAGTCTACCCCAGCACTGTCTCTACTTTTGTTTCACATTATTTATTAAGTAGTTCTGTCAATAAATTGTTTTTTTAAAAAACAAATGTATTTTCATGGTTTCAGGTTCTACCTTTTGACACCATTTATTACAAAAGCAGGTTATTAAAAATCTCACGTTTCGACTCAAGCCATGTAGGCATCTCATGAATTTCTTTCACCTCCGTGTTAGTTTGTGGGTTGAGTCTGCCTTCGCCTGCCTTTTTTCTGTTAACGTTGTAGGAGTTTCTTCATTGTTTTAAACATCAGATGTCTCTGCTCATTCCTTGAGGTTTCATTTACAAATCTTCATGGGGGAATCACGTCCTCTTGTGTGTTGGCTTTCATTCTTTTCCCATGTCCACTGTGAGTATTTCTTTATCCTTAAATCTACCAGGGAACCTCTTCTGAACTTACGTGTGCTCTTGGAATTCTTTTCTTTCCCCCCCCACAGAGACATGTATTGGCTTTTTCCCTCACATACTATTTTTAAAGAATTTCAGTTCTCTCTTGTCTGCCTGCTGTATAAAACCATAATTACACAAGCCGTCGATTTACCCTTGAGAATTCTGCTCGTGTATGTCTCACCGTCTTCTTTCTAAATTCATCACTCCTGTTTCCTCCCAAACAACCCTGTAAGTGCAGGGTCGAATGTGTGTATGTGATGTCGAACTGGCCCAACGCCAAGATGAAATTTCAGCTTTCATCTCCTCCTACTTAATCACTCCCTCTTTCCTGCAGTTTCCTCCTCCCCTGCAGTGAAGAGACAGAAGGAATTTGCCAAAAACCAGTGTCTTGATGGTAATTGGGGGATTGGGGCTCGTCTTGGCTCAGGGGAGAGAATGTGTGCCCAGAACTGCCCTATTTTTTTTGTCACAGTTCCTCCCTCCAAAAGAAGTTGTGTTTGGAACTCCTTCAGCAGCTCGTGTGCTGTCACCCTTGGATGATCTGCTCCGACTCATCTCTGAGACAAAGGACCTGGGGTTTGTTTTCCAGCTTAAATTGCATGGACCCCAGGCCAAGTCTCAGAGGTTGCATGTGGCCACTTGGGACAAGTGGGTTGATTCTGGGGATGTGGGGACAAGCAGATGAGGAAGAAAGATGCTGCGCAGAAAGGGGCAGGAGGTGGGACCACATCCCGGACGGGTGGGCATGCTTGTCACGTGGACAGACTGCAGGCGCTGACGCGTGCTGTTTAGAAGAATGCTGTGAGGTTTCTCAGAAAGTCTCAGCAGGCAACTAAGTACGAGGCTGATTTCCCAATGATATCATTTCTACTTGCACTGTTTTTCTGTGTTTTTAAGTATTTCCCTTTTGCTTTTATCATTTTTTTCCTTTTATGTGCTTTCCTTGGTAACGTTTTCTCATTTCACTTAAAACATTTTTTTTTAATTGAAGTAGAGCTAATTTGCGATGTTGTGTTAGTTTCTGGTGTACAGCAAAGTGGTTCAGTTGTATGTATATATGTTCTTTTTTGGATTCATTTTAATTATAGGTTATTATAAGCTATTGAATAGAGTTCCCTGTGCTGTACAGTAGGACCTTTTTGTTTATCTATCTGATATATAGTGGTTTGTACCAGCTAATGCCAAACTCCTAATTTATCCCTCCCTGCCACTTTGATAACCATAAATTTTCTCCATCTGTGAGTCTGTTTCTGTTTCATAAATTAGTTTATTTGTGCCATTTTTTTAAGATTCCACATATAGGTGATATCATATGGTATTTGTCCTTCTGTGTCTGATTTACTTCACTTAGAATGACAATCTCCAGGTCTATCCATGTTGCTGCAGATGACATTATTTCGTTCTTTTTCATGGCTGAATAGTATTCCATTGTGTGTAGACACCATAACTTCTTTACTCAGTTGTCTGTGGATGGACATTTAGGTTGCTTCCATGTCTTCGCTATTGTAAATAGTGCTGCCATGAACATGGGATGCAGGTGTCTTTTCAAATTAGAGTTCCCTCCAGATATATGTCCAGGTGTGGGATTTCTGGGTCAAATGGTAAGTCTTATTTTTAGTTTTTTAAGGAGCCTCCCTTCTGTTTTCTATAGTGGCTACAACATTTCGCTTTTCTGAATCATTCAAAGTTGAGTTTACTTTTTTCAGTTATTTGATCGTATTTGGTAAGAGCTTTTATCCAAAAGTGGTGTTGAAAGGGGGAGGGTACAGCTCAAGTGGTAGAGCACATGCTTAGCGTGCACAAGGTCCGGGGTTCAATCCCCAGTGCCTCCTCTAAAAAAATAAGTAAGTAAGTAAACTTAATTACCCCCCAAATTTTTTTAATTAAAAAATAGAAATTAAAAATAAATAAAGAACAAAATTAAAAACAAAAAACAAAAACCAAAACAAAAGTGTGGTTGAATCCCAGCGAGTGCTTTTTCTGCATCTAGTATGATGATTCTGATTTTTGTTTTATTTTAATTTATTATTATTATTTTTAATCCTCATGTTAAACTCCTACAAGGGTGAATTGCAGGGATGGCTTTTCTCCTAACTCAGGAGACACCACTGAAGTTGAAAGTGTAAACGTAACCTTGTCTATGGGTGGGGGCTGTATTCCTATCAAAGAAAATTAACTTTAAGGAAAAGGAGCTGTTGGGGCACGAAGAAGGCGAGCCATCCCTAATGGAGGAGCAGTGATGGGTTTTGTCCTGCAGGCATCCTGGTTTTCCCTCTGTGCACCCCCGCCAGCCCCGGGAAATAACCTAAAGTGTGAGAAACAGGTGTCGACAGGGAGGAGCTGGTGATTCTGCATCAGAGCAGGACAGGCGTCAGTGCATCTCCCAAGTGTAGAACATTCCGAAGAGGAAGAAACAGAGCAGCCAGTTCCTGGCAGTGCACACCGTCCACGTCCCTGCACTGAGACCTGGGGGCGTCCCTCGGTGATGCCGGCGGCCTGGGTTTGGAGACCTCCCCTCACACCTGCTCCCCGCCCCCAACCCCGCAGGAGCGGCTACTCGGCGCACGGCGCCTACGCCCAGAGCAAGCTGGCCCTGGTGCTGTTCACCTACCACCTGCAGGCGCTGCTGGCCGCCGCTGGCAGCCACGTGACCGCCAACGTGGCCGACCCCGGCGTGGTCAACACCAACCTCTACAGACATGTCTTCTGGGGCACGGGGCTCATGAAGAAGATATTCGGCTGGTGGTTTTCCAAGGTAAGGCTCCGAGGGCGTGATCCGAGGGGGCAGGGACGGCCACCTCAGGGCCATTTGTGCAGAATCGGGTGCAGCCACCACTTAGCGGGGTGGGCTGGTTAGGCTTGTCCTCTGAGTCCTCAGAACGGTGACCGCCCTCGTGGTCTCAGAGCCTGTGGCCCCATCCCTGAGACAGGGAACAGAGACGAGCCATTCCCATGCAGGCCCATGGTTCTACTTCTGTGAAGTAGAAAAGTGATCTGGGGCAGAGGAGGGCGGTGGGCTTTTCTGCTGCTTCCAAAGACCCTCGGATTGCAGGTGTTTCTGAATCAGGTCTGATTGGTTTCTCGGAGGGTAATTTCTTCAAAGACGAGGTGGTGTGCGGGGTCTCCTTCCGGTGTCTCTGGTGACCTTGGTTTCCATGCCCTCAAAAGGCACTGCCTGGTCCCTCAGTTTCTCACAGAGTGAACATCGAAGTTGCCTCCCCACGGGGCACCCAGGTGACGGTAGAGGCGTGACTGAAATACGCAGCACTCTCACCGTCCAGGGGGACCACCTGAGCCGGTGACACGTGGCACAGGACCCAGCGAGTAGGAGCCAGGGACACACAGAAGGGCTAGTGAGTTGTGCCCGCCCCCACGAACATGGCTTAAATGACGCAGAAGCTACGAACGAGGAAATCCAAGGCCCTTTGAATCCCACCTCATGTTTCATCCTTCCCCGTTTCTGTTTGTCCAAACAGAGTGATCCGACAGGATCGAGTATGCAAGGGTGTCTGTTTCTTTTTTTTTAAGGTTATAGTCCATTTATAGTTAGTGTAAAATACTGACTGTGTTCCCTGTGCTGCACAGTAGGTCCTCGTAGTTTGTTTTGTGCATACGTTTGCCCATCTTTCTCCCCTCCCTCCCCTATATTGCCCTTGGGGCGTTTGTTTCTTTATCCAGCTTCCTTTTTGGTACATTTAGTCCGTTACCCGTTTTACCCTGATAAGTACAGTAATCGTTAAAGAAAAAATTAACTTCCCGTCCATCACCCTTCATACGAGACAGGCTAAAATGAATTCCTTTGTACACGTTTAATCGCCAGGTTAACCCAGTGGGACTTGTAAAGCCCAGGGGTGAAATTTCACAGCCAGGGTGGGACAGGGCCCCTGGACACATTCCACGTGGCTGTTTTCTCGGATGATTTCTTAAGCATCAAATTCTTCAAAAGGAGTTTGTTTCTCTAGAGGCCATGCACACAGAACATCCAGTACCCTGATTTCCCCACCTCGTTTCTGCTCGTGTTTCTCTAGTATCTTGCTCCCGGACCAAACGCAGTCCCATTTAAACCTGCATAAATCTGCATTTTTTTTTTCCGTTAGCACTCATATTGTGTGTTTCCTGCACAGTCATCTTTTTTTTTTTTTAATGGAGGCACCGGGGATTGAACCCAGGACCTTGTGCATGCTAAGCACGTGCTCCACTACTGAGCTACACCCTCCCCGTGGGCAGTCATCTTGCTGATTGTTAGAATTACCTTTTCTTCCCTCTGCACATCTTCGTTCTGTGGGCGGTGCTGATTCAGCAGCAAATGCTTGGGCTCCCACAGCCCTGGCGGGTGGGCAGCCTTCATTTCTCCCTCCCCGCAGGGTCACAGAAATGAGGACGTGACTGTCGGAGCCCTGGAGGGGAAGGCGGGGGCCGTAAATCATAGCGATTACATGAGCTCTCCACCTCCCCTTGTCCTTCGTCCAGAATTTGGGGCCACCCCGGAACCCAAATGCTGACAAAGCCGAATTAACGGATGCCACTGGTCCCCAGCATCTGGTGACGCTGTCTATAATTATTTCTTTCTCACCAGGACCTCCAAACCTACATCTCCTGAGTGCCCAAATTCCCCTCTGTGGTTCCATTTAAAGTTCAGCTCACCTTTATGAACGTGACATCTCGTGTGAAGTATTTGCTCTTGTCCAATGGGGACGGTGTTCCATGTGTGTTTTGTTGGGGGTTGGGTGATGATTCAGAAAAAAGAAATCTTCCTGCATATCAGAAACGTAACCGAGTGTTTCATATTCCACATTTTTACCCCCATAATTCTTGTGCCTTCTGGTCTTCGAGAAAGTCCTTTACGTCACAATGAATCGAGAGGTTAGGACATTTTTTTGTTGTCATTCATTCTTTCAGGGGGTCCTTCTGGTTTGTTCTCTGCTTTGCATGGTTTCTGGGTTGGCCTCTTGCTGAGGAATTCCAGCTCCAGTGCTTTCAGTTGTGTTGACGAAAAAGTAATCTGTCCATCTAAGAGATAAATGGAAAACTTTATTTGAACAAAATTTGAGGCTTATAGTTGTCTGAAAACTGTCCCGCCCATGTGAAATCAAAGCACAGTGATAGAAGGTTTTTGAGACAGAGTTCATCAAATGACGTATTGTGTACAGAATCCAGGTGTAAGCGGCGTCCTGGTGTGTCCTGTGACCCCTTACAACATCCTGAAGGAACATTCTCTTTAAGGAGCTGTCTTGTTTATGCTGGGAGAAGGTCGCTCTTGAGGGCTGAGCAGGTGTTTTTGCCAAGGTAGGGGCGAGGTTTGGTCCATGCCTAATGCAGACACAGAGTGCGCAGTGTGGGGAGAGGAGGCTGAAGGGCAGAGAAAACTGTTACGTGTAAATTGTTCTAGTCTTGCCATGAAAGAAGTTTTATTTTACCCTCGTGGCAGTCAGCTCCTTATGCAGCCTGGAGGATGTCTGCAGGGCGTGAGGTAGGGGTTCCAGCCAATACCCGTGTGCAAACCCCAACCCGCACATCCACTGGTCCCTCCTTCGCTGATCGCGGACAGACCCGCGCACGGTCACCATTTGTTCCGAATTCCCTCTCCTCTCCAGCGGTGCCCTCCCCACCCCTCTCCTGTCTTGCCCCTCCTGACCCCAAACCCAAGTGTTTTTTCCGGAATGCCTTTTATCAAAACAGGATTCACAACCGGGGTGTCTCTTTCTGCAGACGTGTTTGCTTGTTTTTTTTTTCCTACATTTCAGTTGTCGGCCACTCCTCGGACTTGGTGTCATCACCCTAACGGAAATGAATTTGGGAAAGGCATTTTTTTTTAATAATTCTTATTCTTTATTGAAGTGTGGTTGATTTACAATGTTAGTGTCAGGCGAACAGCCAAGCAATTCAGTTACACATATACATTCATGTATATGTATGTATTCTCAGATTCTTTCCCATTACAGCTCGTTACAAGATATTGAATACAGTTCCTTGTGCTGTACGGTGGGACCTTGTTTATTTACTTTATGTATAGTAGTTAGTGTCTGCAAATCCTGAACTCCTAATCTATCCCTGGGAGGGGGGCATTTTAACATCATGGAGGGAGCATGGAGGTTTCAGATGGGGCTGTTTCCTGACTGAATATAAGTCCTCTCTTGTTTTGCACACGTCTTTCTGGATGCTTGTGATATGGTGGTTTCTAAAGAGAAATATACGTATTTGGTCTTTGTCCCTGTTTCTGGCACAGAGCTCCTGAAACCCTTGAAATTGACTGAGTGATGAGAGCCAGAAAGGTGTCTCTTGTTATGTGAATGAGGTGACCTCTGGCCCTCACCTCAGGATGGGGGGCTGGTTGCCAGGGGAACCAAGCGGAGATTTAAAGCGTTGGAAATTTCACTGCTGGTGGCAATGCAGTTTGGTGCTGACACTGTGGAAAACAGTATGGAGATTCCTCAAAAGACTAAAAATACGCTTGCCATATGACCCAGAATCCCACTACTGGGCACAGATCCAGCAGGAACACTAATTTAGAAAGACACCTGCATCCCAATGTTCATAGCACCACTATTTACAATAGCCAAGACATGGAAACAGCCTAAATGTCCATCGACAGATGACTGGATAAAGAAGCTGTGGTATAGTCATACAATGGAATACTACTCAGCCATGAAAAAGAGTGAAATAATGCCATTTGCAGTAACATGGATGAATCTGGAGAATGTCATTCTAAGTGAAGTAAGCCAGAAAGAGAAGGAGAAATACCATATGAGATCGCTCATATGTGGAATACTAAAAAAAAAAAAAAAAAGAAGA